AAAAAAAAAAAAAAAAAAAAAAAAAAACAGACAGTGGCCTGGGACCGAATCGGTTAAGGCATGCCCAACCACCCAGGCACAAGCGGGTGATACTCCCTGCTTCGAACACGTTGCTGGAAGAGCCTGGAAGGCCCACGAATGTTTCTGATTCTCACGAGCAAGGCGGATGTCACCAACTGGTGCGTGGCAACTGTCTGGCGACCACCAAGATTTGCAAATATTGACAAGTCCAGGGCTCATTGAGATTCAGGGGGCCCGCCTTCACTTAGCGTGGCCATGCACCTGCTGCAGGGCCTTATATTATGCCCACATGCCTAGGAGTAAAATCATTGCCTCTCTCTCTCTCTCTCTCTCTCTCTCTCTCTCTCTCTCTCTCTCTCTCTCTCTCTCTCTCGCGCGCGCGCGCGCGCGCGCGCGCGCGCGCTCTATCAGGTCGTCGCTGAACCCTGTAACGAGCCAAAAGCTTCTCATTCAACTGAACCGAGATGCAGCGGCGGCCTGTTTTCAGCAGATCTCGCGGAGTCCTCAGCTGGTGCTGACTTCTCGTGAATGCGGCGCACCAGGTGAACCAGGTCCACACTCTGCACCAGGGGCTCCTCGAAGTCCCGCACTGGTGCACCCACTGTACTTCTCGGAGCAGGGGTTTGATGAATGCTTCTCACTGTGTGGTATACAAGTGGGTGCTCCAGCATCTGAGGGCCCTATTTTCACTGGGGTCTATTGGGTCTAGATTTCCATAGAGCCAAGAGACCGCAGTGAAAAATAGGACCCTGAGATTAACTGAGAAGACTGAGATACACAACTGCAAATTGAACTCAATGCGTGAGGCTTTACTATCAAAGTGAAAGCATCGAGAACATGGCATGCGATACAATTATACCGGACTGTGGCCCCCTGCAGCGGGCCTTCATCTGCCCTGGCCTACAGCCAGGGCCTATTTGGCTATTTGCCAGTTCGGCCTGTGGGACCAGGCCGTGGCCTGACCCCACAGGCCGTATATTGTTTCAGTCCAGTCCAGTCCCGCCCGGTACCACGGTCGGTACCAGGCCAGTCCAGTCCAGTCCAGTCAGTYCGCTGGGGGTATACCCCAGCTGCAGTCTGTTTTTTGGTCATTCTTCACTTTCGCAGATCTTGGAGTACTTGCGTGTGGAGTCTGCGTCGGAGCTGCGTTGTCCCCTCCAGCTCCATCTCTACCTCCTTCTTCGTCTCCATCCTAACGGACCGCTATCCCGGCGGGTCCGGCACACCCCCCCCGCCAGAATAGATAAGGCAAGTGTGTTGGCTGTAAAGGAAACAAACAAAAAAAAAAAACAAGTACCGCGAGCATTCGTCTGCCTCCTTCTCCAATGATCGTCTCAGCCACCATCCATGAATATATGGAATTTTCTCCTGCAATCTTGAATCCGATAATCAGCTCCGATGCTCTATCCCACTGTCTATTCATCAATCTTGTCGTCAGCTCCTATCATTTTCTCTCCCTGACGTACCACGCTGATCATGTTCCCACTACCTTGACTTCCGACGCACTCTCAACTTTCCGCCTTCGACATTTCCGCCTTCTTCGAATGCCGTACTTTCTTTCTCGAAAGAAAATGTCGAAGGCAGAAAGGGAGAAAAATTGGAAAGTCGAAGGAAGAAAGTGAGGACTTTCCTCTTTTTCCTCACCCGACTTGTCGACTTTCCGCCTTCTGACTTTCCTTTCCCTTCTTCTCAAGGCAATTGAAAGGGTAAAAAGAAAAGAGAAGAAAAGAATGCTTGATTCCATATGACTCGCCAGATCACCCATGGTTATAGTGTGTACCAAGATCCTCAGTCGTGCCCTGCAGCGTCGTGTATGCATGCTTGCTGGATCGGTACAACGTACCACATACGCCATTATTTGTTTATCGTCAAATTATCGATGAACTCCTCCCTTCATCAACCCGACTGTCGACTTCCGCCTCTTGACGTACCTTCTCCATTCTTTCCACAGGGACGAAATGTATTCATTTACGATTAGCCAGATAGCAAAAGGTTATGGGCCTCACTCCACTGCTCTCCACATGCGCAAAAGACAAAAAAAAGAGGGTGGCGTATCTTTCGACGTTCTAGCCGAAGATTCATTCTCATTTTGCACACTTCGTGAGTGGTGGAACAAGGCCCTCTGTGTGAAATCCCGACCCGCTGTCGAGTCATACTTTTTGTGTCGGATTGTAGGATGAGTACTCCTCGCTCCTGTCGTGCTGTACCCAGTCTGTACTCCTCGCTCCTGTCGAGTCATTTTGCACACTCGGCGCCGTGTCGTACCCAGTCGTGTACGCTACATGTCCTCTTCGTCCATACGGTGGTATCATATTCCCTGTTCGCTCCTGCGGCGTTACCTTTGACGTTGGTGACGGTCTGTCGTATTTTGTGAAAGAAGTTCAAAGAACCAGTTAACTTCTGGGCAAAGTCCTGAGTACTCAGTAAACCATATATATATGTAGAGTTTTCCATCTGGTGTGGGTGAGTGATAGTCTACTTTGATTTTGGTTGAGGTGGATTATCACTTACAGTGTAATCAGTGAGGGGATTACAGACTGTTGAGGGTTCAGATCCTGATGAGTCGGTGAAACTCCGACGAAACAGTTTGTCACAGCCCCTCGTTTGTTGTCCTCTTCTCCCTCTCTGCCTACGGTTTACCGGGCAGTTCTATTTGACGATAT